CGATTTGCATCTCTCTTTTAAGCGTCACGTGGAAAACTTGGTAAAGAAACTGAAAGTTAAATTGGGTTTCTTTTTCAGAAACAGATTCTGTCTAACTCTGAATGCTAGGAAACACCTTGTATCTGTGACTTCCCTTCCCTCCATTGATTACAGTGACATTATTTACATGAACGCACCTACAAGCACCCTGCAGATGTTGGATGCTGTCTATCACGATGCGTTAAGATTCATAACTGGCTGTAACTATCGTACCCACCACTGCACCCTGTATTCACTGGTTAACTGGACATCATTAACTTCACACAGACTCTCTCACTGGTACATTTTCATCTTTAAATCACTGCTTGGTCTGCTGCCTTCATACATCTACTCCTACATGTCACTAAGTGAGTGCAGCTACAGCGTGCACTCTCAGGACTTTATTACATGCAGTGTCCCCTCAGTGCGGACTGAACTTTGCAAAAGGGCCTTCTCCTACTCAGCTCCTGTTTCCTGGAATATCTTGCAAAAAACCTGAAGCTCTCGACCTTGGCCTCTCTAAGAGCTTCAAACATCTGTTAAGTTCTTGGCTAAAACAATGCAGACATGTTCCTGTAGTTTTCTACACTGCCTTACAATCTAGCTGTTTCTGTGTCATTTTTTCAAATAACATTTTTTTTTTATTTGTTCTTCTCAATTTGTATGCATTATTTTATGATTGTCTACTGTTGTCATCACTCTTTGTTAAAATCAGGACTCTCTTTTAAACGAGTCCCCAAGGCTCAATGGGACTAACCTGTATAAATAAAGGTTGAATGAATAAAAAACCAAATACCTGATTTGTATTTAAGTTGAATCTCTTCTGTTGTTTTTGTTTATTACCATAGGTTTTATGGCAGTACTTTACTTAAAAAGACAAACCAGAATTTAATGCTATAAAGCCACGTTTTGACACTTCATTTTATTTATATTTTTGAGGGTCATAAAGTTTCTAATGCAAACCTATTGCTGTCTTACTTTAGTTTTTCTCCGATAGAGCAATGTGTCGAATTTATCTAGAAATGCATTATTTTACAATTTAAAATGTCTAATAATGTTTGAAATTCCCTGTCATGATCAGGTGGCTTAGAAACTTACACTTAAAGTAACTGGAACCACCAATTTTGGTTTATTGTTTTATAAAAAATTTAGTTTGTGATATTACAGTGAAAAGCCTGAAAGTTCAAAAAATGTTCAAACCTGAGCTCCAGGTTACCATAGCTCTTGTGGTGCTGCGTGAAAATTTTAGTAAATCTGTCAACATTTAGGACCAACACTTAGATTGAGTCTTCTGCAACAATTACTGCAGCTCCTCTGCATAATTAACATGAATTATTTCTTCTTCTTTTTTTAATATGACTTTTATTTCCAAAGAAAATGTCACATAATGAAATGGTGCTTTTGAGAAAAACAACTGGATAAAAATAAATGAATGAATAAATAAATAAATAAATATTTATATATAAATAAAATAAAACTAATGTCCTCAGCCTTAAAAATAAAACAGCAGTTTGGTATTTCTTCAGGCTTGGCAGCTCAGCCACCAAAAGACAATTTGATTTTGTTTTGAAATATCATCAAATCTTATTTGGATGGTTACCTGTGGAGATTGTCACGGTGGCACAGTTGATAGAGCTGTTCCCACTCAGCAAGAAGGTCACCGGATCGAATCCCGGCCGGGAACCTTTCTGGGTGGAGTTTTCATGTTTTCTCCGTGCATACGCGGGTTTTCTCCGGGTCCTCCGGTTTCCTCCCACAGACCAAAAACATGCATGTTTGTCTGATTGGTAACTCTAAATTGTCCCTAGGTGTGAGTGAGAGAGTGAATGGTTGTTTGTCTCGTTTGTTTCTATGTGGCCCTGTGATGGACTTGCAACCCGTCCAGGGTGTACCCCGCCCCTCGCACAGTGATTGCTGGACATGGGCACCGGCGACCCCCGTGACCCAAAATGGAATAAGCGGGTAAAGATAATGGATGGATGGATGGAATTGTTGTGTGTCTCATTTGTCTCTGTGTCCCTGTGATGGACTGGAGACTTGTCCAGGCCAGGGTGTCCCACACCTCTCACACAATGGCTGCTGGATATTGACACCAGTGACCCAAAAAGGAAGAAGCGGGTAAAGATAATGGACGGCTGGATAGATGCATGGATGGCTGGTTACCTGTGCATTTAGTAATTTATGTTTTTATTTTTATTTAGTCCCATTAGGTTGTATGCTTTAAAAAAATTAAATACAAAAACTTTTGTTATTTTTATGACAGTTTTGCCATGTGCAAACTATAAAAATGTATAAAACTATCATTTCCGTGCAGCTCTACCACCAAATCATCTTTTATTTCTGCTGCTTTAAAAAAAATCTTTCACTTCCTCTAGGTACAGAGTTGTTTCTAAAGTAACTGTTTTAAACCCATTAAAACATTTCCCATCAGTCTGTCAGTCCTGACTTTCTCCAATATGCTTCAACAGTTTGAAAAGAAAATGCATGAAGCAAAGTTGTGCTATATCATCATTTTCTCACCTGTTCTTTGATGCTTAACATTTTTTCTAGTCTACCGTCTGCTTTGCCAGTTTGCCGTCACTTGATCTTTTTTATCGTCTACTGGCCAGAGGATGCTCCCAACTCGAAATGCCTGACAACTGTAACCAAGGGGCAGGCATACTGTAACTGTACTAAGCTGTTGTTTGAATAATGAATAAATTAAGGAAGCAGGAGAACCTGATGTTTGGCTGGACTGTAGGGATGTGTTCTGCAAAGCTGAATGATAATGCAATATATTATTTATGGTAAAAATAAAAAGATTTTATTTATCACTGGTATACATCAGCGGTGTGTTTGACAAAAATGGAGGTTGGGCACTTGTAATGAGACAAACTTTTCTTCTTTTCCCCAAAACTGTTGTGAAAACTAGATTTTTTTGTGTTTACTCCTATATATTATTGGAAAAGTAGGTGAGAATGGAAACTGCGAGGAAGGAGTGGGACTGAAACAGAAGGAAAAAGATGTGGAGTAAAAAAGAGTGGGCGGAGGAGTCTAAATAGACTGAGAGATAAGTGGTATGTAAATAGGAAATTAATCCAAAAGTATCTCAGGGGTTAAAAACCTGATCTGAGAGAGAGGATAATGTCTGAGGATGCCTCAGGTGCAGCCAAGAGGGGAGGAGGCAGGGAGATCGACAAGGGAGAGGGAGGGTTTTGTTTGGGTGTGTGTGTGTGTGTGAAGAGAGAGAGACTTGAGTGTGCATGCTGGAGAGATGGCGTTGGGAGGGAGGAAAGTGCAAGCCAGTCGCAGCATCTCTCCTCACTGCACCAGGGCTGAGGGACTTCACGTCCTCCCTTTCCCTCGCTGCAGAATTAACTCATTTCCATCAGCGCAGTCATCTTTTTTAAATTTATTATTTATTTACTTTTGCTTGTTGCTTTGGATAGATGCATTCGTTTCAGTTCTTACGCTGCGATCCAAGGATTTTTTTAAATTGAAAACATCACTTGCTCAATCTTGAGTTAAAAGGGGCTTTTTTTGGAAAAAAAAAGACCGTGCTACAATCTGGGACTCCGACTGGGACATGTTTTTTGGTGTTTTTTCACCCCCCTGCTAGAGTGGATTCTTCTTTTGTTGTGCTGCCAGTGTTTGATTCAGAACAACAAAACTGACATAGGACTAAAAGACAAGGTGATGAGATCCCATACTTTAACAACTTCTATGAAAATTTACAGTTTCATGAAGCACTTGAAGAGAAGACGTCAAGCTGTGCCGACCGCTGCCAGTGCTTCACAATGTCACCGCAAGAACGCCAGGTGCAAGTTTACAGGATAAATGATTTTGGATTGAAAGCCTGCTTTGCATCTGTGTGCCACAGGATTGCTGAAGAGTTGGAGTGGAGCGCTGAAATAGTCAGCTGGCCTCTCATTGCTCGTGGAGAGTCCTTTCATCTGTCTGCATGGGAGTAAAGGGGAATCTGACATTCAGCACCTTAATCGGCTGCAGGACATTCAATATTTTTGCAGCTTCCAGTCCACAACATTATTTATACTTTTGGATCGCAACTTCGGATCCCTTTATTGACGGAACAATTTTGATACTTTTTTTTTTTAATCTCATTCTGCCAAGAGATGCCTTATAGTTTTTCCTCTCTGTCATATGTGCTGAAAGAGCTGTGACACTATCTAATGCGGAGATCCCTGTGTTGTTGTAGCCTGTGTCTGTGTTTTGATTCAGACAATAGCTGGGCATACATGGGATTCAGACACTGACCAGAGGACCACCAAAATAAAGGAAGCTTGCTGTTATGCAGTAAAAACCCAAGCACCCATGGCAGTGATTTTTTTTAATTGAACCTGATGTTTTTTATAAATATATAATTTTTTTAAATATTTGCAACACAAAGAAACAGGTTGCTTGAACATTTTTTTATGTAAAAAAAACCCCACCTTTGTTTGTTCAAGTTTGAAATTGGAGCCATGTGCACTTTTATTGCCTTTGAGAGCCTGCCTGCAGAAAAAGTAGTGTACTTTGTTTTACACTTTACCCTTGTCTTTACCCTTGTCACATCTTCTGTGGTTTCTGTCGTGACAACCGTTTAAATCCCCAACCTGCTGGTGGAAACTTTCATTAAAATCAAGCGTTGATCCCAACAGACTGGGACATAAAGCAGCTGGAAAACTCTCCTTTGGGATGGATGCTGTCTGTAAAGCTATTGCTACCCCACTTTAGTCTCACCGAAAGGATAACTCTTGCTGTTTTTCTACTCCTGACATATCCACCAAATGCTTTCTCCTACCATGTATGACTGGAAAGTAGAAACAAACAGATTGGCCTATCCTCCCAGAGGCTGTATTGATTTTCCTCCAGTCTGTGTTCATTTGAATGAGACCCATCTATGTGAGAGTAAGGTGAACAAAAGCTTGAGTGTGCTTGAGAAAATATTGAGCTTTCTGATGTGAGTGAGGCTGCAGACACCTGGTGAAGAACTGGAAGGGGGGAGACTGGCAGTTCTCCAGTTTCATGACAGCGGCCTCATGGGTGGCACACTACAAACCTGACTCGCTTGGCTAGCACCAAGAACAATGAACCAGTCGGAATTGTCAGTGGACTCGATGATTCCCGCTAACAACAGCCATAGAGATTTTTTTCCTGACAGGGTGTCCAACCACTCCTGTCCATTGGGCTGGGTGTTAAAGGACGGCCCAGAGGCTTGCATTCTGGAGACTGCTGTCATTGTGCTTTTGACAGTGCTCATTATTGCAGGAAACCTAACTGTGATCTTTGTGTTCCACTGTGCTCCTTTGCTGCACCACTACACCACCAGCTATTTTATTCAGACTATGGCCTATGCTGACTTACTGGTTGGTCTTAGTTGCTTAGTCCCCACTTTATCTCTGCTCCATTACCCAGCAGGTGTCCAGGAACCAATTACATGCCAAGTTTTCAGCTACGTTATTTCAGTTCTGAAGAGCGTGTCAATGGCATGCTTGGCCTGCATCAGTGTGGACCGCTACTTGGCCATAACTAAACCACTGTCATACAATCAGCTGGTGACACCGTGCCGACTGCGAGGCTGCATCGCTCTCATCTGGGTCTACTCAAGCTTGGTTTTCTTGCCCTCCTTTTTTGGTTGGGGCAAGCCAGGATACCATGGAGATATATTTGAATGGTGTGCTCAATCCTGGCCGACCTCTGCCCTCTTCACAGGCTTTGTTGTGTGCTTTCTGTATGCACCTGCAGCGCTTGTGGTCTGTTTTACCTATTATCACATTTTTCGTATATGCCAGCAACACAACAGGGAGATCAGTGAACGCCGGGCACGCTTTCCCAGCCAAGAGATGGAGGCTGGTGAGGGGAATAATGGTGGACATCATGGAGGGCATGGGCCAGATCGGCGCTATGCTATGGTACTCTTCCGCATTACAAGTGTTTTTTATATGCTTTGGCTGCCCTACATAATCTACTTTCTTCTAGAAAGCTCTCATGTTCTTGATAGTCCTGCACTTTCCTTTATCACCACCTGGTTGGCCATTAGCAACAGCTTTTGCAACTGTGTCATCTACAGCCTGTCGAATAGCGTATTCCGCCTGGGCATGCGCAGACTCTCGCAGACTATGTGCTCCTTTAGCCATTGCGCCGCCGATGAAAGAGACTTAAGGGAGCCCAAACCAAGGAAGAGGGCAAACTCTTGCTCCATCTGAGGGAAATGCTTTAAGTGTGAGAAATGAATAAAACATTTTAATGGATTGCAGTTAAATTGGCAAAGTTGAAAAAAAAAATTTTTTTTCTTTCCTTTCTCTTTTTTTTACCATTTTGGCAATACCAATCATGTTACTTTATTTAATAATATCAGTTTATTCCAGGGGAAGTTTACTTCATCAGACCTAGCATCTAGAAAATACTATAAATTGCAAAATAATACTAACATAAATCCAAATATGACATATTCACTTCATGCTTGTTCATCTAGACAAATTTGTTCAACTGTTTTCTGGATATCTTTATAATTTCCAATAACTGTTATTCATAAATAATGTGTAATGTGCATTTAATGTGCCAAATATCCTGTTTAGGGGTTGATAGTTTTTAGATGCTTTACAGATGTAAGCATGCAGATGTGACCACGATAGTAGCTGCTGATAAATATCAAACTGTTTAATTATTTTGGAGAAAGTGAGCATTTTTTACTGCTCTTTTTCATTTCCTCTTGAGAAAGTGAATTGCATAGTACGGATATCAGGTGGTTTGCCACATTTTCACTTTTGATAGCCATTAATCTGACTATTGCAATTTGAGTCTAGTGGTAACCTTGTACTGGTTATTAATTTGTCAGGATTTTTGTCAGTTCCTACAATTTCCACCTATTTACTGAAAGCACCTTGTTTCTGAAGTAAAGGCCAAGGACTGGGATATTTTTCTTTCTATTTCAATCTTTATATTGAGGAAGTAAGTAAGTAAGTTGATGCTCACCACAGGTAAATAATCATCATACTGAATTTTGCCCAAGTTTTCCATTTGTACCCTTTAAATACCTAAGAATTTGCTATTTTGATATGAAGTTCAGATTAATTACTACAGCTATCATCCTGAGTTGAAACTCTTGGGTGTTGCTTTTAACCCTAAATTTGAAATTTCCATTAAAAATAATATTAATTTGAGTGCAAACCTGATTTTACCAGGCTTTGGCTGATGTTGTTCTCTTTAAAATATGGTAGTGGATTTTATTTTGCTGCAGCAGTTTTGGATTATTGTAATCTGATGTAGTTTGACACCGCTGTGAGGATAAAACCCCGCTGATCTGAAATGACATGCTCCGTTGTGTAAATGTTTAAAGCTGTCAGACGCTTATCTCTGTTTGTTGAACTGTGTTGAAGAATGCTCTTTTATTTATTTTTTTCCTGCATTCTATTTGAACTTTTGTCTTTGATAAATCTGACAAGTTGCAGCCCCAACACTACAATCCCTGAATGTCTTGGTGACTTGATGTCTAATGTGCAGTCTTTACAAAACAAATCTTTGACCTGAATTTTATTTTTATGTCATTTGTGCCAAGTAGCATAGTTCTGCAGATGACAACATTTATGTGTTAAAATTTGTTCCTTTATGAAATGTTGTTTGTTATTGTTTTCTGTCTGGCTATATAAGATGTTATTTTTATTTTACTGTACTCTCCAAGTTTAGTGACTTTCCTAAATTTTCAACATTTGTTACATTAAGCAGATTATGTAGCTGTTCAAGCCAGTTAAGCTGGGATTCTCACCTGTTGCTCAAGATCAATATTGTATTTATTCCAGCTTTGATCAATGGATAAAGTATAATTAATTTAGCATATATATATATATATATATATATATATATATATATATATATA